AGCTCCAATGGAGTGGACTTACCCAAGTTGGCGGCCGTTTTTCGGAAGAAGTTGAAGTGGTGGTGTGTTGGCGGCGTGCTGTCAACGTTGGCGGCGTGCTACTGCCACGATGGGGCTGCCGGAGTCCCACCGCCTCGTCGGTGTTGTCGGACAGCCTCTGACTTGGACGCCAACGTCGCCGGTGACTCTTCGCGCTCTATTTCGCGTCTGCGCCCCCCACTCGGTCCTCGGGGGGCCCCTGGTGTCCCGTCCTGGACCGCCCCGCAGCCCCATTGGCTCAAGACGCGTGCTCCGCCACTTGTTGAGGCGCCTCTATATCTTTTAGCAGACCGGCTCTTTCACGGCTCACCCTCCTGACCCACTGATATATTACCATCAAGAAGCGGGGGCATATTTTATGGAATTATATCTGGGGAATGGGAGCCGATCCAGCCTCATGTTTAAGGAAGTGCCTGGAAGGAAAAGAGCAGCCCATTTGGCTTCCAAACAACTCGACTATCCACTTACTGATTATGTGGCTGATCAGCCTAATAAATCAGATCGGGATTCTTGACCCCCCMTGTGTTTTTCTTAGGCTCTGCGCCTCTCTGAGGTGGGAACGCATCAACACCAGATTTATACAGAGCGATTAGGGAAACTCTAAAAGCCACRAAATTTRTACTGAATTTATCTTTCTGCCTGCCGGAAAACGTTCCACATCACGTGCTGTGATAAAAACTCTTGCAGTTTGAAAATCAACAATGCAACGCTAATAAACAACTGTATAACCTCTAGATTTTCAGCGATTTTCTTTTAAAAAAACTTAGAGTTTYATCTCGTTTGTGTTCAACTGTTTTCCTGAGAAATTATACCTGTACAGGGTGTCCCAGGCAAGGATGCATTGCATGAGGATCTTCCAAACCGTGGGACGGTTAAACTAGAGGGCTATATACAAGGAGTTTTCAAAAACAAAATGTTTCATTGGATTTTTGAGATATTTAGAAGAAAAGCGGCTTTTCGGATTATCATTTTTTTTCATTTTTGAAGAGTTATTTCACATCATATCATATCAAAAACTCTCCCATGGCACCATTTCGAGCGCTTCCAGGTGGAGTCTGAAAAAGTATTACAGCGTTTCGTTTCTTTAAAAGCATCATCAACCTTTGTTTTTCGTAAGGGCCAAAAACAGGGCAATTGCAGTATGTACAAAAAGACTACGCAGTCTTTTTAATAGCGAATTGAACACAGTGCGATTAGCTCCGTTTCTTGCGGCAAAAAATCAGAGTTTTATAAATTATACTCATTTTTATCAGCAGACGGCGACAAACTTGCGTTTGTCAGTTCTAACATCGGTCAATAAGTCTTTTATACACACCAGTATCAAAATTTCTCGAGAATTTTTCTGATTACATGTGACAAGCTAATTCAAGGTATTTTGTTTGCTAGCTTATGAAAGTCTGATCCTCTTTCTACAACTTTTCCGTATACATTTGAGCTGTTTGTATACTTCACGTTAGAAACATTGGAATCGCCAATTTGGGTCCGAAGAAATTTACTTTTTGATGCCTTTGTTTGAGAATTTCAATTGCTTCAAGTAGAAGATTATATTTCTTCGGCATTTTTTGGCGGAAAAAGTTTTTCACTTTCACACATCACGATTACTTTTGTCTCGTAGTTTTATCTGAAATACGCTCTTTCACATGGTCACTACTGAAATTTTCTTCAAAAATAAGCTTCAAGCTGTTCAATGTTTGCAAATGACCCGCGGGTAAGCGAGGATTTACCGGTAGTAGAATTTTAAAGGTTCAATGAACATAACTATTGAGCTGAGGATTCTAAGACCTGCATTGGTATAGTTGTTATTTTTTTACTCGAACTATATGCTTTGTGCGAAGAAAATTCAAGAGAGCGTTTTGTTAGGAATTTAACAAGCATTTCGTTTCTGATAAATCAGTTACATACCAATTTTTGTTCAAAAATTTTGATGCTTTTAAGCGGTAGTTTTTTTGGTTTCCAATAATTTTGAACACCCTGTATTTACGAAGCGATGCACTTAAGAACTGTCATTTATTAGAACATTTGACGCTAAAATAGTGCCAGCAATCACTCCCTAATGTTTGCTTTTTTTTGCAGAGTATTTTTGAATCATCCTGTATATAAGGTGATTCAAAATTGGCGTCATTCCTCTGGAGGTGTTGTCTGTCGGTGTTTTAGGAGTACAGAAAAAATAGTAAATAAAAATTGTTGTTAAAAACTGAAAAATTTCCAAAAAACTATATTAGAAAAACGGCAACAATGTTTTTTTTTTTGTAATTTTTTGAACAATTTTTTTTTAATTCCTATGCAATTGTAAAGAGTAATGAAAAACACATTTTTTAAGCACATTCTTTTACGAAGTTTGCAATTAGAGCAATAGCGCATTCTTAAAGGAAAAATATATTGAATTAGACATTACGAAAGAAAATCATCATAAGTCCGCGTACGAAAATTTTTAAAATCTGAAGTTTTAAACGGTTTATGTGAAAACAGTCAATGTAGCAAAACAATTAGCAAGTATAATTCGTGACAGTTGCTTTATGGAAAATTTATTCCTAAGTTTAATACAAATATCGAATTCCTAAAAAAATGTTAGTCGTATCTTAATAAATTATGAACAATAAAATTTTAAAATTGTCATTATTCAGATTTCAGTTCTGTTCACTGTAAGCGTCAGTTTCCTAATATTTTTATTCAAGTTTTTTTTTTAATATACAGGGTGATTCTTGTGTCCGGCAGTAGCGGGATGAATAAAATTATTTAAATTAAGCAAGCTGTTGAGATGAATCTGAACAATTAAATGGTCAGTGATAATATTTACAACTGCTTTTTCATCATTCTAGTTTCTTCTTGTGATTTATTATTGTCTTGATAATAATAGTTTTCCAAATAAGGAACATTTTCAAATTTTAACGATTTTTATACAAAGCAATATGGCAAGGTCGGACATACTTTTTACTTTTTTAACTAAAAAGTTCCAGGAAGATAGTGGACGACAATAGATATTCGGGTTCCAGACACACAGGAACAAGTATTGCAAATAATTGCAGAAGAGCCTCTCAGGGGCCCTCAAAACATTGCACAACAACTGACACTTTCCCATGCATCAAATAAATACCGGCTACATTCCTACCACGTATGTAAGATCACATTAAACCAATGGACTACTGAACACCGGTATAAATTGAGCAGGTGTTAATTAACCGAATACGAAAAGCTGATCGAGAAGAGTGCATAATAAGCTGATACACAGGCACTTGTTCGGAGTTACATACTCAAACGTATGTTTTTGTAATTTGTAAACAAATTAATAATTCGAGGTTATGAGTTTCGAAACAGGTTCTGTCATTCAACGATTCCTGTTGAATTTACCGTTTATCCTTGTCTTATTGTCACTTTTCTATTAATCCATGGTTACCGGAGTTTTAAATAATTACCAAGCAACAGGTATTTACGTAATGTTAATTAGGCAGATTACCTTGAAAATCATTGTTGCCGTTTTTCTAATATGGTTTTTTGCAAATTTCTCAGTTTTTAATAACAACTAATTTTTTCTGTACTTCTAAGGCATCGCCAGAAAACACCTCCATAGGAATGACGCCAATTTTGAATCGCCCTGTATAAAAAACCGTGAAATTTTGTCAGTTCGGATAAAACTGAATAAAAAAAGTTTAGGCTTTCGCGGCAACGACTAGTTTTTCGCCCGCCGTTGTAAAATACATGTGCGAAATAAAGTGCTGGTTTAGGAAGTGTTATTTTCAGGCTAACCCCATTTGATGAGACCTAGTAGGTTCGAAACCGATTCTGAGAGGGTGTCTGAGATTAGCAGAGCTCGAAATCTGTATTTACTTACTTCAGACATCTTGTGATGATGCCAACATTTTCACTGCTCTTTCAAACTTTAACACACTTATTAGAAATAAACTAGAGAAAAGCAAAATAAAGAGAGAACAAAATAGCGCAAAGTGACAAAAAAATTAAAAAAAACCACAGGAACTAGGGAAAATTGCACCATCCAACAGTGAATATTTTGTCTTCACTAAATCAGTCTGTATCAATATTGGTCTTATATTTTTTATTGCTCAGCAATTTGCTTGATTTAGAATTATTGTGTTGAGGCTTGGTAAACTGCGATCAAATATTATAATAAACAAATTCAGCGTGCTCTTGAAAATCGTGACTAGTGGAGAACGAGCTAATAACAACGAAAAAAAAAAAAGATGCAACAACAGGACTTCAGATAACGACGCAGAGTCACCGTGCTGAAAACGGTACGAGCTAATATTTGCCGGAAATTCTTCCTTCAGCCTTTCTGGAAAACTTCTTTAACGAGCGGTGATATTATTTCCTGCTAGCAGAAAGTAAAATGTATTTTACTTGAATGTCACCTTTAGTATATCGGGATCAGCGAGGTTTTTTGAATTTCGGATTAGCAGCCAGATTCATATTAGTTTCTGCTGCTGCTAGTTACATAGTCTGTCGTTTTACACTAATTGCCAATTAACTGGATAGAGTTCTCCAACTTAATAAACTTAAATGGCGCTGGAAAAGCAATTTAAGTAAAAAATTCCGTTTCCCACCTACCGATCGGCCCCTTCGAAGCGCTGCTTATTGCTGACCTAAGAAATGCCAGGAATGTGGAGGCGCGAAGATGCTTCCCAATTCAATAAAAGCTCATCATAGCGTGCATACTCCCGGCATCCTTCTTCGCAATAAGGACGCCAAAGCATTCGAGTAATAAAGAGATGTCCTAAATTATATGCGGGAATATTGCGAGCTTCGGCCTCAGCTTCAATACTTTTTTATATGGATAGATGAAGTTTCTTATGAGGCAATTATTGCTAAATGTCATCGTGGCTCTGTGTTAAATTAATTTTATTTTATTTCTCTCTCATCGTTATTTATTTAATTAATTATGATTTTATTAATCAGATGCATGTTTTACCATGATTGATTTTCCTGACTGCGTGTACTTGCTATTATATTCTTATCTTTCCTGGGTCTCAGTCAAACTGAGAAGTAAAAAGTAGTTTGAATTTCGTTTATTTCAAACTTATTACTTTTTCAAACTAATTTTTTTGAAAAACGTACCGCATAATTGGTGAATATTAACGTTCTTTTAGGTCTTTGCCTTCTTGAAGCCTTAAATTTGTCTGAATTATTTTC